GATCAGACATCAGAAACAACAGACACATACTCACATACACACATACACACAGACGTTGTCCTGTACCGGTCCTTCAAGTCCTGAGCGATGATCAGATGTTTGAGGTGATAGTCGATGGCTCTCTCGTAGTCCTGCAGGAGGGTGTATGTGTTTCCCAGACTGTAGCAGGCCTGAGCCTCCACCGCCCGGTCCTTCAGCTGACGCGCCAACTGTAGAGTCCGTCTGAGGAAAACACACACACACACACACACACACACACACACACACACACACACACACACACACACACACACACACACACACACACACACACACACACACACACACACACACTAAATTTAAAAAGTGGTGTGGTTTTAAAAGCTGCTGTTAAAATTGTTTGTTAAAAGGATAGTTCACTCAAAAATATAAATTCTGTCATCTGTAAAGATTTCAAAGCTTCATGAAGCAGTTCCTCAAAAGCAGTCATCACTACTCTCACACGGAAAATGTGAAAATCCTCATAACATTGAATTATAAACAGTAAATGTAACTTCTTTCAGTGAAACAGTGTGACTAATAAGTCACACAACTACTATATCTAGATCTCACAAAAGGATTTATTTCATAAACCGCAACTGAAATTATGGAGTAAAGTAATTATTACACGTTATTAAAGAGCACCTAGGTTACCTCTTTTTTTCAGATTTAATATAAGTGTTTTGTGCAGGGGTCTCTAACTCGCGGCCCGCGGGCCATTTGCGGCCCTCAGTGCAATATTTTGTGGCCCGCGCCGACCGCTGTACACTGACAGAATCAGCGGATCGGGGAGAGAGAGAGCGCTCCCCGCTCCGCTGATTCTATCCGTACACAGCGGTCACTGGCATTCCCCGCCCGCCATTTAAACAAAGGGGCGGGGATGCCAGTGACGTCACCACGCACCCCGCCCCTTGGTTAGACGCCGTGACGGGTGGGAAGGGTTAGGAGGGAACTCGCGCCGGCCAGAACCAAGGTAAGCTATTCCCGCCCCTGCCTGCCACTTAGCTACCTATCTGCATCCTGCCACCTACCTAGCTACAGCCTGCATCTTATATATATTATAGGTAGATACAGACTGGTACAGACTGATGTGACTGGAGTGGGGTGGGGGTTTTTTATTTATATACGCCTTTTTTTTAGGTGAGGGAATGGAAGTTTTGAGTGAGTTCCCCCACTTTTTTCTGTGTGAGAAGTTATTCTCCACCTTGAACTTCAATAAGTCAAAGTACAGGTCTAGACTTAATGATGATCATCTTCAAGCCATACTGAGGGTCTCAACTGCTTCCGCTCTAAAGCCAAATGTGGTTCAGATTTGTGAGAAGAAGCGCTGTCAAGTCTCTGGCAGCAAGGAGTAGGCAAAAGATGCCATGTTCAGAAGAACTGTTCATAATCTTCACTCAATGTTCTATTAATGTTCCGGACACTTCATGTTCAGAAGAAACAATTCAAACCGTTAATAATGACATTTGAGGACTTTTTTTTGTGAAATCCCTTATGGGCCCAGCCTCACCCAGACTTTTCCTCCTGCGGCCCCCAGGTAAATTGAGTTTGAGGGTGCTTTCACACCTACACTTTTGTTTCGGAACGTATCTCGTTTGCCCAGTTAGCGCGGTTCAATTGGCATATGTGAACAGGGCAATCGCGCTCTGTTCCGCGCCAAAGTAACCGCTCCGAGATCGCTTGAATGAGGTGGTCTCGGCTCGATTGAAACGAACTCTGGAGCGGATCGATTGCAGTGAGAAAGCAAACGATCCGAGCGAGGTTATATCACAGTGTTTTATGGATATGTAATAGGCTTATTTATGGCTATATGAAGAGAGAATTATGAGTAGGGCGGGAAGTTTCGCGAGTCTCCGGATGCCCGCAAACGAGTGATGATCTCCCGGTAATCTCGCGTCTCACTTGCTGTCCTCAAATAGGCATCGTCGCGCCCCTCCCCACTGCGTCTCTCCTCTGACACGTCGCGCGCGCACCCTGTCAATCACCACCAAACCACCACATCTCCTAACAGCTGAGCGGGACGCTGCAAAATAAACCCTGACACTCTGACCAATGTGAGGAGAGTTTACTCACATGTGACTTGTTTTAGCTCTTTTGGTCCGATTAGAAAATTTGCAGTGTGAAAGCGAACCGCTCCAAGAGCAAAGAGCAACAATGTAACATTTGTAATCTCTGTTTCGGAACAACTGAATCGATTCACAGGTGTGAAAGCACCCTGAGACCCGTGGTTTTGAGTCTCCAGAATATGTATGTAAAGTTTCAGCTCAAAACACCCATCAGATTTTTTATTATACCTTTTATTAGATGCTGTTTTATACATCTTTCCTCCAGGGGGTTTTGTCGTACTGCGACTTTAAGGCTAGTCCTCCCCGCCTACCTTTTCTACGTGTCTTTCTGCGTGCATTAACCTCCTCCCTCGGCTGCGTCAGACAAAAAGACAGACTTAAAGGAAGAAGATCTCACGTAGCGTTTGTGAAAAATACTACAGTAAGAACTTTACCAGTGAGTATTTGTTTTGCAGTTGCATTGATCAGTCCCACACAATATCGTTACAAAGTTCAAGCGCGCACACACACACACACACACACACACACACACACACACACACACACACACACACACACATACACACACACACACACACACACACACACACACACACACACACACACACACACACACACACACACACACACACACACACACACACACACACACACACACACACACTGACAGACAGAGCGCTTTTAGCTTCCCACTCTTTTTGCACTCAAATGTGACAGGATACAGGCTAATCTCCCCTGCTGTGTGGATACATGTTATGTTAATGTACAAAATAAACCTGATTTAGCGTCCACAAACCGGGATTGAAGCATCTTCCTTTATAATTGTTCTGACACATGACGCACTCTGACGTCAAGTTGCAGTCGATCTAAAAACCACTCCAATTGTGTTGGCCTAGGTTTCCTCTGGGTGCTCCGCAATAGGGAAATTGGATAAACTAAATTGGTCGTAGTGAATGTGTGTGAATGAGTGTGTATGGATGTTTCCCAGTACTGGGTTGCAGCTGGAAGGGCATACGCTGTGTAAAACATATGCAGAATAAGTTGGCGGTTCATTCCTCTGTGGTGTCCCTTGATGGATAAAGGGACTAAGCTAAAGAAAAATGAATGAATGCTGAATTATTAGAAAATTCTTTGTAAGATTACATTCTCTTTAAAATTTAATAAGCATACAGGGGCTTTTAATGAAGACTGTGAGAATCAACACTGCTAAAATAGACATTAATATATTCCAGTTTTGTAAACTTAATGTAACTATGCAAGCTCATCATTACATTGTTAATTACCCTGTTATTTTGTTTTAATTACTATTTTTTGTCAGTGAGTGCAGTCCTGACTCTCTATGGTCATTAAAAAAATCCCATGGCACTTCTCATAAAGAGTAGGGGTGTATCTTCGGTGTCCTGGCCAAATTCCCTCCATCGGCCCTTACTTATTCCCATCCACCAAATTGCTCTATCACTGTCTCTTCACTCCACCAATAGCTGGTGTGTGAAGAGCGCACTGGTGCCATTTTCCTGTGGCTGCCGTCGCATCATCCAAATGGATGCTGCACATTGGTGGTGGTGTGGAGAGACCCCCTCACCCCTGATGATTGTGAAGCATTTTGGGTGTATGGCCATACACGACAAATACACAATATAAATACACACATTATTACATTGCAATAAAAAGTATTTGGAAATGCACATGCTGTCAAAATGTTGTATTGTCACTAATGACTCCTTGACAATAAATAAATAAATAAATAAATAAATAAATAAATAAATAAATAAATGTAAGAATAATGTTTGAAAAAAAATGCATTACTGGTTCTTGGCGAAGCAATTTTTTTTCTGCCTTGGAATCGAACAATAAATAAAGGCCAAAAGATTACATTTAAAAATAATCATTGCTTTTGCTGTTGTTTATATTTGCATACTTTATTATATTTTAAAAAATAATCAAAAAGGTGAAAAAATATATAAAGGAAAACACTTATTGCGGTTGTTATTATTCCTTCCTTTGCATATTATGCTAAACATCTAGATATATTTAAGTAAACAAATAAAAAGCAAACTGACTTGTAATGCTCTGCAGCGACTTCAAACTTTCCAAGGAATATGTATGCATTTCCAAGATTGCAATATGCTCTCCTCTCTGCAGCTCGGTCTCCAAACTCCTTTGCAATGAGGAGACGCTGAAAAAAAAGACAGCATTATTTGTCTTTAAGTTAAGCCTGAATCAATAATAACCCATGCTGATATACACATCATAAGCAGTTTATGAATTACTGATATTAAAAGGTACAATTTCCACAAGTTTCTACATTACTACCGCAAAAAACACTTGTTCATCTCTTTAACTGAAAATTGCACCAGTTTGCACCAGAAACTTTCTTAAAATCACTCCATATCTCTAGAAAAACATTGTGAATTTCGGACTATGCCTCACAGAGGTGAGTGGGCATGAGAAACCACCTGTAAAAACCCTCTTCTCTCTATATGCACCAGACACTTTAACTTTAAAGAGTGCACTTTACATATAGAGAGTGCATATAGACAGAAGACTGTTTCTATAGGTGGTTTATCAAGCTCACTCACCTGTAGAAAACCTCTTTGGTCTATATGCACTCTCTATATGTAAAGTGTACACTCTATAAGTGACATGCATAAAGAGAAAAGAGTGTTACCACCTATAGAAACCCTTTTCTCTTTATATGTACCATTAATTTACCTATAGAGAGTGCACTTTACATATAGAAGAGTGTTTCTAGAGGTGGTTTATCAAGCCCACTCACCTCTTTTGTCTATATGCACTCTCTAAGTAAAGTGACTGTACATATAGAGAGAAGAATGTTTTTATAGGTGAGTGGGCTTGACAAACCACCTCTAGAAACACTTTTCTCTCTATATACATTGATCAATTTAACTATAGAGAGTGCATATAGAGAGAAGAGTGTTTCTAAAAGTAAGTGGGCCTGACAAACCATCCGTAGAAACACTCTTCTCTCTATATACACCAGACACTTTGCCTATAGAGAGTACACTTTACATATAGAGAGTGCATCTGGAGGTAAGAGTGCTTCGACGGGTGGTTTATCAAGCCCACTCACCTGTATAAACACCCTTCTCTCCATATGCACTCTCCATTTGTAAAGTGCACATATATATATACATACATCGAACACTACCTATAGAAAGTGACTGTGCATATAGAGAGAAGAATGTTTCTATAGGTGAGTGGGCTTGACAAACCACCTGTAGAAACACTTTTCTCTATATATACACATCAATCCTTTTAACTATAGAGAGTGCATATAGAGAGAAGAGTGTTTCGACAGGTAAGTGGGCCTGATAAACCACCAGTAGAAACACTCTTCTCTCTGTACGCACCAGACACTTTATATGTAGAGTGCACTTTCTATAGGTAGAGAGTTCATATAGACAGAAGAGTGTTTTTACAGGTGGTTTGTCAAGCCCACTAACCTTTTTGTCTATTTACACTCTCTATATGTAAAGTGCACTCTCTATAGGTAAAGTGACTATGCATATAGAGAGAAGAATGTTTCTATAGGAGAGAGGGCTTGACAAACCACCTGTAGAAACATTCTTCTATCTATATGCACCAGAAACTTTATTTTTAGAGTGCACTCTCAATAGGTAGACAGTGCATATCGACCGAAGAGGGTTTCTACTGGTGAGTGGACTTTATAAACCACTCATAGAAACACTCTTCTCTCTATATGCATCGGACACTTTACCTATAGAGAGTGCACTTTACATATAAAGAGCGCATATAAAGAGAAGAGTGTTTCTACAGGTGAGTGGGCTTGATAAACCATTCGTTGAAACACATTTCTCTCCATATGCACCTTCCTTAAACTCTATCTTACAAGGACTCAATAAGGTAAACAGTTTTTACTTGTGAACGTACCACATAATAATTGAGAGCCAATCAGCATTCCTTAAAACACTGAACACTTAAAGTTTTATTAATTAAATATAAATTTAATTCAAAGCCATAAGACACAATCTAACATTGGCAAAATATTTGACCCCCATGATCTGAATGTATAATCTGCACTCATATGCTCTATCGATTGAATAAATGTATTATTCTCTGATTGCACAATTTAATATATAAACCAAAAGCACGTTAATGATTAAAACTAGCAAGTTATTTCACTAGGCTCTCTCAGTATGAAATACCTGCTCATGTGCGAGAACAGCATCCTGGAAGTTTCCGAGCAAATAGTGCGAGTTGCCAAGGTTACCGTAGGTCCTGCCTTGAGCCGCTCTGTCGCCCAACTCTTTCACAATGGCCAGATTCGCTCTTCAAACAGAAACGTGCAAAAAAAGATACATCAAAAAAGAAAATTCGCAATCTCCTGGACTTTCTCCAGAAGGAAAAATATTATAGGGAATAGTGTAAAAAAATTCCTTGCTCTGCTAATCAATGGCTGTGAAATACAAAAAAAAAAAAAAAAATATATATATATATATATATATATATATATATATATATATATATATATATATATATATATATATATATATATATATATATATATATATTCACAGAAGGGTTATTTGTAACTGTTTATCCAGATTTTCACTCTATGGCAACTTGTGTGTGTCTCACTCGTATAACTCTGTCGCTTTCTTCAGCGCGATGTGTGCCTCTTCTGGAAATTCTCCAGGGTCCATCCCACTCCAACATATGTTCTTCCCTTTGGCGTGGTACACATTCCCATAATTATATAGCGCTCGAGCCTGCCCCACCTAACAAAACCACACACAGACACGCACGCGGAGAGATAACACACAACAACCACCCATTACACACCGAAGACGCAGTGACCGCTTGCATTTCAGACTAGGTTTATGATCTGTGAAAATAGAACAAGTGGCATCTTTGGATAACTGGACAAATGTGACTTCCAAATAAAAAAATTAAAAAGAGGAAATGTTGATTTATAGCCTTTTTGGATGAATTCTAGAAATAAGCAATATAGATGACATTTAATCACCCATCATGACATTGCGTTGTCATAATGATAATGATATTATTATTAGTATTATTATCAGAAACACACACTCTTAAAAACCCTGGGATGTAACTCACTTTCATCCACCACAACCACATTAGGATATCTCAATTAATTTTTAATATAATAAAACAATATATTTTTAAAAAAATAATGAAATAAGGTGTTTTGTACTTATTTTTTCTAATTAATCTTTATCAAATCAAATATAAATTATAACATGCATTAAAACACCACAAGTGGAACACTGTGCTGAGCAAATAGACAGAACTTTCTAAAGAATATGTCTTAGTTTAAAATTGACGCAGTTATTTACTAGTAGATTATATTTGAAGTAAAATTTTTAAGCTCTCTATTGTATATATTTTTAGACAATTAGACTGCATCAATAAATAGATAAAGATAGACAGATAGAAAAGAAAACAACAAAAGAGAAAAACTTTAGAACAAAAAAACATTAGAACAAAAGAAAGAAGGATTAAAAGTAAGAATGAAGAAATGAACAAGAAAAGAACGAATGAAAAAGAAAGATAAAACAGGAAAGAACAAACGAACAAGAACGAACAAACAAAAAACGAACGAATGGATGAACAAGAATGAAAGAACGAACAAACAAGAATGAACGAATGAACAACCAAGAACAAACGAACAAAAAAAGAACAAACGAACCAACAAGAAAGATCGAATAAGATAGAACGAACAATAGATAGAACGATAAAATGATAGAACAATCGATAGAACAATGAAACTATCAATAGAACGATCGATCGATCAATGGATGGATGGATAGACATATGCTTAGATATAAAGCTTCTTAAACATAACTCTTTTCAGTTTTTATACAACAATTCATATTTTATTCATTTATACATTTAATTTATCAATAAATACATTAAACAGTTTATTAAATCAGTTCTGCACAGCTTTTTTTTTTTAACCAGAATTTTTGTTGTTTTTTAGTTCTGCAAGCACAGTGACCTGGAGTCATCAAGCTCCAAAGAAAGGACAAAAATTGCCATAAAACCATTGAATACTTTTCAATATGTGATATTCTCAGTCTGAAGACTCCATATGATGGCTTCTGCCATGGTTGACAAATCTTATTCACACATTCACATCACACTCATGTATATTGTGTCTTGGCACGCCAGGTTTGACTTCAATACACAAAGGTATTGAACCATACTGTAGAGACTTAAAAATGTATGTATATAGTTTTTAGTCACACTTTACAATAAGGTTTATTAGTTAATGTTAATTAATGCATTTACTAACATGAACAAACAATGAACAATACATTTACTACTGTATTTGTTCATGTAAGTAAACGTTAGTTAAAGAAAATACAGTAGTTCATTGTTAGTTCATTTAAACTCATGGTGCATTAACTAATGTTAACAAGCACAGACTTGGATGTTAATAATGCATTAGTAAATTATTAGTTTAGATTAATAAATGCTGTACAAGTGCTGTTCATGATTAGTTCATGTTAGTAAATATTTAAACTAATGAACCTTATTGTAAAGTGTTACCCAGTTTTTTGGTGTTAGAGGATACACTGTTCCTTTAACATCGCCATGAAATGAAAATAAGCATTTTTTTTTTTTTTTTGTAATTTTAAAGTATTTATTAATGTTTTTTTTTTCAAGCACACTTGAAATGGGCCAATATTCACACAATATAACTATATACTGAGAGTGAAGCAGCATGAAATGGTTCCATGTTCACTTTAAAATGCATGTTCATCACAGCACTAATAGCTTTAGGACTTAATTCTGACTTTCAAACAAAAATGTTCATGTTATTCTTACCCACATGTTCACATTAGTGATTAATTGATTGATTTATTAATAAGCTTCCATCTATTAATATTGGATAATAAAACTAAATCGATGATGAAAAGCACATATAAAACACGTCCTAATCTAAGGTGATGTTAATGTTTAATAATGCCAATTTAAAAGTTACATTAATAACACAGGTTTTATTTATTGGAGCTAATAACTAATAATGTTTAATTGCACTTTAACATTACTTCTGTAGCAAATGCAGGATCTTCCCTGTTGGTGTTTATCTAACATTCACTAATGAGTTGTTTTTGTAAAGGTGGAATTTAATTGGTTTGAAACATTTGTTTACTTTGAAAATTGTTAATTTTTTGCAGCACTGCTAAAATTAGGGTCAGTAATACTTTATATTGTGACAAAAGCTTAAACAAAAAAAAATCATACCTTTAAATTCCTTATGGACATATTTTTTCCATTCATAGTTACTTTTTTATCTTGACACTCTTCCCTGATTGGTGTTTACTGGTGCGAAGGCTGGATCAAATATGCAAGATCTCACCAATAGCATACTCTTATGTACATAATCAAGTCCTGCCCTACAGTTGTTCTTGTTCCAAATACATCTTTCCTCAGATATAGATCACAACACTGAAAAGAAGATAATTGTAGCTTCTCTTTCATTACTCTGGTGAAACATACAGTACCTTATCATGGAGCGTCCTGGCAATATCTAGGTGTCTTTGGCAACAAACTGCTGCTTCATCATAGCGACCGAGAACCTTCAATGTGTTTCCAAGGTTACCACTGGCTTTAGCTTCTCCCAACTGATCTCCAATAGTTCTACAAGAATCAAAACAAAGCTTACTTTAGATGAAGATATAATCCTGGTGGCTTTAAAGGGGTCATGAACCGATCACTCAAAATTCCCTTAATCTTTTGATATATAAAAGACACTCCACTTTAAAAACATCCTGTAAGTTTCAGAACTCAAAACTTCACAGTTAGTCTATAAACTTATATTGAATTTATATTGAAGAAAAAACGAATGAGCAGATATTTTAGACCGCAACAACCACTTCTTTACTGTGCTTAGCTCCACCCACCAATTCACACTATAGTTAGTAAACAAATTTTACAGGTTGTCTGATATGCACAGGTGTGTACAGTACAAATGTGTTTTAACCTAAATGGATGTAGGCCGTCAAACATACTGTACAATTGAGAACTTTACATGAGTTTTACTTCACACATATACTTTTTTATATTTATTGATTGACAGAGGTCTCAGCCAATCTGCAGTAATCAATTCTTAAGCTACGAAAAAATGAACGAACGAACAAACAAAAAACCAAAAGAAAGAACAGAAGTACAGAAAAAAACTAAAAGAACAAGAACAATGGAATGAACAATGGAACGAATGATGGAACGATAGAACAATAAATAGAACAAACAAACGATAAAACGAACAAACAAACAAGCAATAAAACAAAACAAACGATAGACCAAACAAAACGAATGAATGATAAATAGAACAAATGAACGACAGATAAAATGGAACGAACAAACAATAACACGGAATGAACAAACAATAAAACAGAACGGAACGAACAAACAATAAAACGGAACAGAACAAACAAACAGTAAAACAGAATGAAACAAAAAAACAATATAACAGAACGGAGCAAACAAACAATAAAACAGAACGGAACAAACAAACAGTAAAACAGAACAGAACAAACAAACAAACAGTAAAACAGAACGGAACGAACAAACAATAAAACGGAACAGAACGAACAGTGAAACAGAACAGAACGAACAAACAATAAAACGGAATGAACAAACAAACAGTATAACAGAACGGAGCAAACAAACAATAAAACAGAACGGAACAAACAAACAGTAAAACAGAACAGAACAAACAAACAAACAGTAAAACAGAACGAACAAACAATAAAACGGAACAGAACAAACAATAAAACAGAACGGAATGAACAAACAATAAAACAGAACAGAACAAACAAACAGTAAAACAGAATGAAACAAAAAAACAATATAACAGAACGGAGCAAACAAACAATAAAACAGAATAGAACAAACAAACAGTAAAACAGAACAGAACAAACAAACAAACAGTAAAACAGAACGGAACGAACAAACAATAAAACGGAACAGAACGAACAGTAAAACAGAACGAACAAACAATAAAACGGAACGAACAAACAAACAATAACACAGAACGGAACGAACGATAAAACAAAATGAACAAACAATAAAACGAAACAATGCATGATAAAACGAAATGAAACAAATAAACGGTAAATCCAACAAACGAACAAATGATAAAAAACAAATGGATGACAAATAGAACAAACGAACGATAAACAAGCAGTAAACTGCACAAATGAACAATGAAATTAATAAACAAACGATAAATAGAACAAACAAACAATAAAATGAACAAATGATAAAATTGAAATGAAAGAACGAAAAATTGAACAAACAATAAATCGAAAGATCGATCGACGAATGATCTAACAAACGATCATCCAAAAGCTGTTCATTGATGAATCTTTTACATTAAAAACTTTTAGCAAATCCATCAGTCCAGCCAATCCGCGCATGCCGATGCACTGACACAGCTGTTATAAACTACTACAGAGCAAAATCCATCTGAACATTATGTAACAAAATCCCCACGAGTAAATTTTATTGGATTCCGCCAGACTATAAATGGATGTCATATTTCATCCTACAGAATGTGCAATACATATTTTACCTCACAGAGGTATTTTCTGTTTTCATTGATTGACAGACATCTCGCCCAATCAGCAGGAAGTAATCTATTATCAAGCTATATCTAACTTTTTGGTTTGTCTGATTGGTCACTGTGTTTTCTAAGTTGTTAATATGTTTTTGAACTAGCCATTGTGATTTCTGAATTGTTGTTTCGTTTTCGAATTAGTTGATGTGCTTTCTGATTTGTTATAGTGATTTCTCAATTGTTATAAATCATGTTTTTGCTTTGTAGATTTGCATTTGTAAATTTTTTTATTGTTTTGTTTTGCACTTCTTGGTCATCATACACGTTTAATTTTATTGGTGTTTGCAAGAAATTTAATCGTAAGCTTGGCAAACAACTTTAGTAGAATTTAATGTTTCCTCATTCAAACAGAATACCCAAGCAAACTTGCCGAGAGGCATTTCAAAGATGTCCGCCAAGTGAAATGACTTGCCTTAAAGGTATTTTGATATTGTGGCAGAAGCAGTCATCAGATAAGGATAACAAATCCAAACATGGAAGCAAACGGTCACACGCTGATTTGATACTAGTGCTATACAGATACTTTTGAGGCACAAAATTATTTGACAAAAAATATTTTAATCATCATTATAATTAAACAAAATAGTTATATATTTATAATAAGTTTAAAGTAGACATCAATTCATATTTTATATATTTAAATTGCATTAATAGATTTCTTAGATCATTTGTTTGTCAGCATAAATGCAAGATTTGCATTGTGCAATTAACATTACCTGTGGAATACTTTCTACATTCGCATTTGTAGACAGCACCTTGCATAACCTGTATATTTATAACAAACCTGTACATACAATTCAACATCCAGATTTCTTGACTAACTGCATCTCTGTTTAATGTTTATCATCTTTTTTTTTCATTGTCACTTGTCACTTTATGTACACTGGAAGCTTCTGTGGCCAAAACAAATACCATGTGTGTGTGAAGCACACTTGGCAATAAAACTGATTCTGAAAGTCTGTCTTCAATATTAGTGATGGTTTTTTTCTAGGTTTGGGGCTTGTGACTGTGTTTACATGGACATCAGTAATCTAATGATTTGCTTTATGGCTCGTTTCCACTGACTGGTACAGTACGGTAAGGTTTGGGTTGGTACGGGTCACCTTTATCAGGCTTGTGTTTCCACTACCAATGGTACCCTTTTGGTGGGCGTGGTGTATGACAAAGTTTCAGTCGCATCATTCTCGCTCGAGGAAATGTCTACAGTAAAGCTGTATGGGTCATTCACATATCATATGAGAAGCACTTCTCACAAAACAGATGCTTAACACATAAATACTTGTGTAAAAATGTTTATTACTAACTTTTCTATAAACATGAGTTGATTATAACTGCAGAGCAATGACGGTGTGAAATAGCCTACTGTAACGTCTGTAATTATATTAAATAAATAAATAAATAAATAAATGACCATATATGAACACATACAAACCCTTACAGTCTCTGATATGTTACCAACTACAGAAAAACTACACACAGCAGACATTTAGTCCTTAATTAGGTTCAAAACAACACAAAATATAGCCTACAGTCAGTGAAAACCTCTCATCTGTGTCTGTAATCTTCAGCAGCACATGTAGCCTCTGTCAGAGAGTCACTCCATCATTCTGCGTTCATAATAGTCCAAAAGGTGATGATAAAAAATGAAACAAGGCAGTTTGTTCACGTTTGCTGAAGAAATAATGTGCTCCTTTTTTCCGGTTTCTCTTATTTTCGCGCTTCACTGCCAGTGTCTCGCAGAATCGAGATTCAATGCGCATCAATAATCGAGCGTACGTTATTATCATCAGCTCAAGAATTTTGTTATTTCAGATATAGACGCGTGGCGAGCGCAGGCAAGAAAGCTAAAATGCTCGCGCTTCAGACTGGCTCGTAAAAAACTACGAGGCACAGGCTAGATTCTGCTCTACTCCATGGCTTTGTGGCTGTTCATCAAGACGACGACAAGGTTTGTTTGAGCCCAGATCGACCATGGTTCGTTATTATACAGTACGTGTAATTCCGCCGTAATCTCTCGGCTGTGTGTGTATTAAACATGGCAGGTTTATTGTTTTCATTCTGGCTTGTTGCGTAAGTGAATGACACATCTCTGTAAACCAACAGCAATCAGCTGTGCGTCTAGTTCCGCCTTTTGGTACCCTTTCTTGTGTCTGGTACCCTTTCTAAAGGGTGCCGAAAAAGTGGTACGGTACGCCTTTTAACAGTGAAAACGGCCACAAAAGCGTACCAAACTGAACCGTACCAATCAGTGTAAACGGGCCATTAATCTCAATAA